AAGTTCAGTGTGCAAGGTCAAATCTTGAATGTATTGAGATAAAATGAAAAGAAGACAAAGGTGTGAAGGGCACCAATGGGACTTGAGTTATACGCAAGACAACAGCATTCGAATCCCATTGTCTACACTTGTCAGTTTGGCCTAAAGGAAAGATGTCCAAGGATCTTTTACCATAACCTTTTTCTTCCACACATTTAACAACAAATGTAAACTTAAATTGCCTATTTTTTATTTTTACTTTTTTGTTTTGTTTTCAGTCTTTGGTGTCTTGGTAGTCTGGATGGCTTTCCTTAAGTTTAAAGAACACTTAAAGAACAAATCAGTTTTTCTCCTTGGTGAACAATTAAGTTCACAACTTTATTTTTCCCCTTTTCATTTCCTTGAAGTTATCAGCATAATAAAGCAATAGGTTGTCTTGTGACTTGTTTGAGTTTGGTTTCTATTGCTATATAAAGACACCATGACCATGACCAACTTGGGGGAGTTGTTTTAACTTGTAATTCTTGGGTCACACACCATCACTGAGGGGCGTCAGGGCACGAACTCAAGCAGGAACTGAAGCGTGGCCATGGAGGAGTGCTGCTTGCTGGCTCTTCCCATGGCTTGTTTAGCCGGCTTTCTTACAGAACCCAGGCACACCTGCCCTAGGTCTTCCCACATTGGTTATTAATCAAGAAAACACCCCCCACACTTTGTCAATGAACTAATATGATGGAGGCTTTTTTTTTCAATTGAAGTTGCTTCTTCCCAGATGAGTCTGGCTTGTGTCAAGTTGAAAACAAACAAACAAACATACTAACTCTAACAAGGACCTTGGTTTTAGTACCAGATTTCTGGCAAATGACTATGTAAATTATGGTTCTATTTTTCTTACTATAATGAAACACCATGACCAAAAACATGAAAATAAAAGTGAGGAGAGGGTTTATTCACACTTTCATATTGCTGCTCATCATTGAAGGAAGTCAGGACAGGAATCCAGAGGCAGGAACTGCAGAGGCCATGGAGGCATGCTGCTTGCTGAACTGTGCATCATGACAAATCATCATGACAAATTCATCATGGCTTGCTCAGCTTGCTCCAGCCAAATGGATGGCACCATCCACAATGGGCTAGGCCCTTCCCCATCAATCACTAATTATGAAAGTGCATTACAGACTGTAACCCGACTTTAGGGAGAAATCTTCTTAATTGAGGTTCCCTCCTCTCAGACGACTATAGCTCATGTCAGGTTGACATAAAACCGCCCGGCACAGCATTAGAATCTTATTTTCCTTTTGTGTCCTTTTGTGTCATCGTCTGTATCTAACCTGGGTTGACAGGTTATACAATTATACATGAACACTCTAATACAAGCAATAATGAAAATACTTACCTACCCATCCGCCCATCCATCAACTCATGCATCATCTCTGCATCTTTACCCTCATGCACACAGCCTCTGGTGCTCAATAATACATGCAGAAAGTGTAGACTGCAATAATATCTGCTTCACATTTCTGAGTTTGGAGCTTTCGTATAATTCCTCCAATCCTCAGTGGTAAATGTTTAGATCAGAGTATAAAATTCCTTCATCCAGAGAACTTCAAAATTCTAAATTTTCATTTCCTGTCTCTGCTGTCTATCTTAATTTGGACCAAGTTTATAGTTCTCCTAATCTGACTTTTATTCGAATCAGGTTATTTTCAAACTACTTTCTATTGTTGATTTAAAAATTCTAGATAATTTCAACATTATTTGGACATGTTATTTTGAAGAATACCTGCAAGGTTCTCACTGGTCTGTACTCTGATCACTCTTTTGGGGTAGAATGTTGATTAAGGCTTTGAACCTTCCTGAACAATGCTGCTAGTCATCATTAGAGTTATACCAGCAATATCAGCTGTAATTCAAACTGATAAGTGCTCGTTTCAAGAGATACAGTCATTTCTAGGAGTTACCACTTACTTCCTAAATACTCTCTTCTTTTCCAAGGAGAAAATACCTAGAAGGGCTTGAAACCACTGATGCTCTCCCAAATCCTCCGAGTTTTTTGACACATTATTTTGAAGTCATCAGAGCCACATACCAGGTGCCTTAGGATATACCTATTAATTCCTTTGCCGTTCAGCAAAAGTTAGCGGCAGCTGGCAACCTTCCAGTCTTCAGATGCCTGCCATAAGAACTTCCACGCTCACTGGGCTGCATTCCCAATGCACTCCTGTGAGGGCAAGAGGAGCACAGTCATCTGCGGTCGTCCTTGCCTATAGAGTGGGATGCCATCTCAGCCCTGGATCACTATAGGAAGGAAAGTGGCGACAACCAGCTTTGTGCCGGGCTTCCTGCTGGTTGTGGAGAGCCCCAGTGGCCCTTGCTTTGCTTCACCTATTCTTTTGCATCCAGTAGTGGCTTGGCTTCTTAGAAATAATTTCAATTTCCTGGGCTGTGCCTGTCTTTTGCTTCCTTTTCAACTCTTCCAGCACCCTACAAGAATCTTTCACATCACTGATACAGCATAAGGAGTTATTCACAGTTTATTTTTCTTCCAAAGTGGTTCACCCATGTTCCTATATATCTCATTAAACTGATGAGAATGTGAAGCTGTTTCAAAAAATCTTGTCTAACTTCAAAATGGTCTTAAATGTAGTTTTGACCCATTTCTTTTCCTGAATATAGAGCGCATAGATCCAGTTTTTGAATGTCTAGTGTCATTTCAAACTTAAATGCACAGAGAGCGAATCTTCTTTCTCTCCAACCTGTTTCTTTCATGTCTTGTCTCAATTAGCAGTGGAATCACACAAATTTCTCAAAAAACCCTGGAGTCCTTCACAGTACCGCCACTACCCACCACTTAGGGATCTGATTAAGTTTCCCTTCCGCCTCCAAATTAAAAACTATAACTTTCCATTTCTTAGCACCTCCACCCGTCACAGTGGCCCTGCCAAGGGGTAGTAGTGATTGGTGTTCCCTGCCTGGCCTGCTTTCATTCTTCTCTCTTATAATTTGTTTCCTGCACAACAGCCAGAGTGATCTTTTAAAACGTCTTAGTCACATTTATTTGATTGAAATAATCCCAGTGCTTCAGCAGTGCAGTGAAAAGAAAATAGAAACAATTTAGCACAGCTTTGAAGAACTTGTATCCATCTGCCCTCATCTCTTCTGTGCCTGGGGCAGGTCAAGCCCAGTCCTCTTTTTTTGTTCTTTATGACTAGAAGGCCATTACCCGAGCTCTTCTTAAGACTGGCCTAACCAGGTCTTGGCTCAAATGGAAACACATAAATATATATATATATATATATATATATATATATATATATATATATATATTTTCCCCCCCACTGGCCAAAGAATTGAGCCTTTCCTCGTGCTCTGGATCACAGTTACTGTGGATAGGCACTGGATACTGTCACGTATGGCAATTGTTGTTATTAGAAGTAATCTTGTTTACTATCTTAATTTATATTCTCAATGTAACTGGTTATGGAAAGAACCTAGTGTAACTTCGTAAGGGAATGGCTGCTGCCAGGAGAGTCTGGGACAGAGAAGTCGTCTGTTCAGAGCTGTGATAGCTAGAAAACACACATGTCTCCAGCTTTGCCCACTCCTGGGTAAAACCAGTTGCTTTAACGTGCCCTGTGAACTTGGGAACTACACTCCTACCATGTCCACCCAAACAATATTTTGTAGCATCAATCTAGAGAGTTTTCTAGAACAGTGAATGACTATATGCAGTTGGCGATTTCAAGATCCTGTTACTGACACATAACACAACTCACTAGAAAATCACTGTCCAATGTCCTAGGCCAGAAGAGAACCATTAGTCAAGACCAGACAAACAAACAACAAAAAACAAAATAATATTAATGCACTGCAAATGAAAAGATGCAAATTGGTTCGTATGCACAAACATGCAATTGGTTTGTGCATATAAGAGGACATGGTGGAGGAGTGACAGGTAGGGCTGGCGACATGGAGCCCCTTCAGAATTTACTAAGCATTCCCGGAAGGCCTCTGGTGACTGTCCCTGCAGCCTGTTAAACCAAACAGGAACCCTGGGAACCAAACACTCAAAGAACTCATCCTGATAGAAGGACAGCAGTATAATCAAGTTTCAGGGCTGGGAAGCACCTCTTTTAGACCAGCCACCAGTGTGATCAGATTTATTAGTGCAGACTGACCAGTCTGTGGGTGCCGTGGGTTTGGGGTTGGAACCACTCCTAGAAAGCCGGATTTAGATTGACAGAAGAGAAAACCAGTTTTGAAGAGGCTGCAACACATAAGTTCCAAAAAGACAACAAAGTAGAAAGCAAAAGCCCTGTTGAGACCTCGCTCTTGTTAGCCCCTCAGGAGATGGTGGGTGGAGCAGGTGGGGTTGATGAGGAGGGTACTTCGGTGCCGAAGATAGAAAAGGGAGCCAAGGTTTTAAACACCTCAGCGGACTGGCCGCCTGCCCTTTAACCCACTCAAGGAATTCCAGAGCGAGTCCGACCGAAGTGGCTTCTGCCGGCCTGGCGTGGCTGGGTGCAGCCAAGTGCCCTCGCTGGTGGAGGCGCTTAGTGTAGGAGCGCTTGGAAAGGGTGGCCGGGACCGCCTGGAGCCCGGCGCGCCGGTCCGCAGAGA